CATCGCACAGGACCTGATTATAGCACGAAACGCCACCAAAATTTCGCAAATCTGCGTTGCCCACCTAGCAAAATGTGCAAATTGGCTACGTAGTTCAATGTCCACGTTTTCAATGTCCACAGAAGGCGTATCGCATTCGCGTATCACGAAAAACGGGGCCGTGACATCTCTCAGGCTTCTCTCTGCCTCTACTGAGGTCGAGGATCAGTCGAGATCGCACCGCGCGATCATCGCAGATTGCGGGACTGCCCGAACGCGGGCTCCGACCATGTTTTGTTTACTTTTTATCAAGTGACAGTGCGAACTCAGCTGATCCGTGTCATCGGTGTCGTCACTCGAGTCGCGCGTTTTGATACGCGCCGTTACTGGTAAATACCGGAACGTTATCTGGGTTATCACCCGATAATACGCACGCATGGCGATTACGGGGAGATGTATATAGCTTGTCGCTTATACTTAGTCGCTTATACTTGGCGCGAGACACTACCGTGTCTCGTGATATATAATATATATATATATCCCCGTTAGTCCCCGTCGTCCCGACAACCGTGATATACGTGTCCTCGCTTTTGTAGGTAACAATGTCCGCGGTGAACGTGAAGGCGCTCGCGCGGCAGAAGGTCCACAGGTTCCTGAACTCGTTCGACACCGTGCTGACGGACTGCGACGGTGAGTGCGGGCTGCGTGCGCGCGCGCGTTGACGTTTACGACGTTGACTCCTTCAGCTCTCCCTTTCAGGCGTGCTGTGGATGCACATGACGCCCCTGCCGCACGCGGCGGACGTCGTCAACCTGTTCCGCAGGCTCGGCAAGCGGGTCTTCTACGTCACGAACAACAGCACGAAGACCCGCGGCGACCTCGTCGACAAGTGCAGGGCCCTCAAGTTCGATGCGGCCGAGGACGATATCCTGTGCACCGCGCACCTGTCGGCGTGCTACCTGCAGAGCTTGGGCTTTCGCAAGAAGGTCTACGTCATCGGCACCGAGGGTGAGAGGCCCGGTGGCTCCGCGAGTCGTCGTCACGAGATGCACTCCGGGCCGCTCTCTTTTTAGGAAGCACGTTCGACACTTTCGACACGAATCGACGCACGTCGCTTTCCATTTAAAATCTGATTCAAACTCGTTGACTCTTCGGGTACTATTTGTCGCACGGCAAAGTTTCTAAGCGCATTGGCTGGCCACGAGAATTTCTCGCCACTCGACGACTTTTCTATCCTGCAGCCAGTCAACACGTTTGAAAACTCGCATCCGCTCCGTGTATCTCGATAGAACTGTTTTCCATAGAAGCTTCTCTTGTGAAATCTTCTTTGATCTCTTGCTGTTCAACCGTGGTCAAGCTGTTTCGATTTGCCTGTGTCTCCTGAAAGAAAAGCCGCTATGTGCGACTCAAGGTGCGAGCGTCTTATTCTGACATAGATTCTTTTATCCGCAGCGATCGCGAAGGAACTGAAGGAGGCCAATATCTCGTGTTGCGGCACAGGACCGGACCCGATTAAACCGAATGTACCGTATTCCGTTTTCGAGAGGGATCCCGAGGTGGCCGCGGTTATAGTCGGCTTCGACGAACACTTCAGCTACCCTAAAATGGTCAAAGCGGCTACGTATCTGCGTGACGCCAGTGTACATTTCATCGGCACCAACACGGACGAGAACTATCCAGTTTCGGACGACATCGTGATACCCGGTAAACGTTGGAAACAATTCGCGTGGCCGCGTCCGCCGTAATTCACGTCGATTAAGAATCTACGACTCTCTTCGACTTCAGGTACGGGGAGTCTGGTTAGGTGCATAGAGAGCTGCTCGGAGAGGAAAGCGGTGATTATGGGCAAGCCGGACAAGTACATGGCTAAGATGCTGACGGAACGATCCAACGTCGATCCCCAGCGTACTCTGATGATCGGCGACCGGTGTAACACTGACATACTCTTCGGGACTCGCTGCGGCTTTACCACTCTGCTAGTCCTGACGGGAGTGACCGCGCTGTCCGACGTCGAGAGATGGGAGCGGTCCGAGCGACGGGAAGAACGGGATCTCGTACCGAATTACTATATAGACGCGCTTGGCGACTTATTACCGTATCTGAAGGAACTGGAAACTGACGTGTCATGAGTCCGCAAGATTTAGGCCCGGTTCTCGCCAAACGTCGCTTAACTTCGATCTTGGTTTAATTCACGTTTGTCTCTTTCCGAAGTAACAGTCGGAAGAGACGGAGAACGAATTAAGCTACGTGCAAGGTTGAGCGACGTCGGTGACGCCGGGCGTTAGCCGTGACGGAGAAAAGTACGAGCGCCGTAGTACTTGAATAAAGATACAGCGAGAACGCAACCTTTTGAAGTACGCTGCAGGTCTGTACATATATCTGTGTGAATAGGATTATCCAACAGATTCTTCTTGCCAAATTTTAACTATTTATATTAATTATGTGAATCACCGAGCTCTCCTGTGTGCATACATTTTTAGAAAACATTAAACGAAATCTGTCTTACGGTCTTGGCTTTGATCCACCTTTTTCCTGGGGGACGAACAAAGTGCGATTGCCGGAGCGAGAATGAAGGGGGAATGTTCGGATGTCCCGTGCGTGGACGGAGGTACGAAGCGTGAAAGTAAATTTTCCAGTTTAAATCTTCCAACCCCATATTTATTTTGGCAATGCCTTTTATATGAAAAAGTACACCTTTTTTTAGAGGGATGATGCACATTTTGGATGAGAAAAGAGTACTGCGAAAGAGAGAGAGAGAGAGAGAGGGGGAGGGAGAAATCGGCAGAGGATGAAAGGATGAGTGCAAAAAGATTGCGATACAATATATATTATTCAAATATATATATATATATATATATATGATAATGGTAAACTTAATGGTAGAGAGAGAGAAAGAAAGAGAGATGCAGATAATCCTTACCTAGAGCTTGTCAACTCATAACAATGAAATATATTTAACGCGTTATATAGTCATATATAATATAAAAGAAGCGTGGTACGTACGTGTGTGTGTGTGTGGACGTGTGTTTCTGTGTGTGTATGCATGTGTACGCGTGTGTGTCGTCCCGCCGTGTACATCTCGGTATATATTATTTTATACTTTCTAAGTTTCATCGGAGGGCTCTTCCCCCTAATCTCTGCGGAGGGGAGAATCAGAGGTGCATATGCCTATACTTTACGTAGACACATCCAGATATCGGTTTTCCGAAGAGCACGAGTCGTAAAATCTTTTAATAGCTAAAAATCGTTAACGGTTTCGATGCGTAAGTATTGTAGCGAGACAGCGTAACATTCATTACCATATGTAACGTTTCGCAAACGGGGCGACATTACGAGTAAAACCCGTTGCGTTTTTCTCGGAGATTGACACGGAGACCGCCCGGAGCCGCCAGCGCGGGCTCCGCCGGCGCTCTCGCGTCCCGTCGGGTCGTTTAGAAAGTTCGATATGAAGTTTTTCGGTGTTAATCACAGTTCACTCATGATACACGTCGGAAGGATATAACGCATTCAAGGTATGCTTCAATTTTCACAACGAAATGCATTGCGGCACGTCGATCGAGGATCGGCTGTAACAATAAATAATTTCTCTTGTACATCTTTTTCCTTTTTGAAACATATATCACAAATCTTTCGCGGACTAGAAAAACACGCGATAATAACACTAGTAAACATAATCTTTGTTATATGTAATATTTTTTTTCTCTTTCCTGCGTATTTTCTTACGTTGCGTTCAAAACTGTTATCAGAATTTTTTGATAGCAAGAGAGAGAGACAGAGAAAGAGTTAGAGAGAGAAAGAGAGAGAGAGAGTGTGTGTGTGTGTGAGTTCTAATTTTTCGAGATATGTAAAACAGAGATACGCTTGAAGAAAGCATACGATCGCTTTTTTTTTTATTGCCATGCTACACTATCCTCTCGGAGGCAAAATTTGTATTAGTTTACACATGTCCGTAGGGATCCCGGATCCTATGGACGATTAAACATTGATACAGCCTTAAAAAGTATATATATGTTATTTCGATATGTGCGATTACTTAAGTAGAATCGCCGCCGGTATATTGCAATCGAAGAGCTCACCTGTAGTCCGCCGTTTGAATGCGCGTCAAGAACAGATCGTGCATCGCACGCGGCTCTCCTTACGCGGCAATCTCTTTTTTTTTTCATTTCGTTTAAGGATACGCGCTCGAGCCCCTTCGGAAGTGAGCTCCTCGATTTCGCGGATCGTCGTCGCTTCCCTCTCGTTCTCTATGAATTAGTACGTATTAATGATTAGTCTTGTAATTGGCACAAGTTTTCTCGCGTATTTGTTAGGTGATCGAACGGCTTTAACAATAGGGAGAATCTAATGTCGATCGGTTCAGATAACGGGGAGAAGAAAGCGGATGGATGATAAGAAGAACGACGCGAGGGATCCCGCATAAACGATTCTGCGGTCGTTCCAACGCCTTTGGAAAACTGACGAATGTTAAACCTTCGCTACGTTTACCTTATAATGCTGTATTATAACGGGACAAGATTAATAACGAGTAATCCTAACGAGAGGGCGAGAGAGACAATAAATCGATAAAATTTCTCACTTACGTGATATAATACAAATCAACGAATTTAAATCTAATCGTTCCTACAGCATTCGCTCGCTAAATCTCTGGTACAGAAGAAAGTGTCTGTATTTTTTTTTGCTTTTTATAATGAACAAGTTACGCCGCAAGCATGTTATTATTTCTGAAACGTTGTTACAAGTGGAATATTAATTGAAACTGGCGACACACACACACATACATGCATGCACACACACGTGCGTACACGCACGGCCATGCACACTCGAGAGAAACCACATACACACACAATATACACGGTGGTCGTTCGATAGATACCTCTAACGGAAATTGCGAAAATAATATGCTGTAATTTCGTCAATTAATGACTCACGACCGTACAGAGTGATTCAAACATATGTCGCCGAATTTGAGAGACACTTTGTTCTCTTAATAAGATAGCGACATTTTATAAATGTCTTCCTTTTCATTTTTTTTTAATCTTCGTACGAAGAATATACGCCATGGATGAATCATCGGGCAATAAGCATAGAGGATCTCTCCAACGTTCAATTTGTAGTTAAAATTGAAGAAATTGCTACGTTTACACTTCTTCTGTTTTTCTAATAAATATATTCTTAAGATTTGTACAGTATTGCGAAATCTCTTCCGTCGTTTGAGTCGCTTCCTCGAGACAACTTTTGATTGTCCGATACTTTTAAGAAGACATAACATTTTCTCAGATCACAGAGGCTAAAATGTAAAAACATTTATTACGCGGACATCGCCGGTCAGTCTATTAAATTACACTTCATTAATAACGTATTTGCAGATGTTAGTAGGCTTGATACTCCATTTTTCTTCCATGCGCGACACGCGATTGAGCAACGTAAATTTGAATTACTCTGCATTTCATCATAAACTCTAAATAAGGATCTGTTCGCTCAGCTGGAATGTCGCTGTGTGACGCTACCACGATTGTCGACGAGACAACAAAATCGAATATCATTATCTTATGTTTCGCGAAATGGACGAAATGGACGAAATGGAGAGGATGCACATCATGCGTTCGAATATAGCAGTAGAAGAATATGTTATGTGATATGCGTGTATGTGTGCGTATGAATGCATGCTTTATACACACAGGATATCTAAATCAATTGGACTTGGTATCGAATTTCCCTCCGTCAAATCAGAGAAAATCCGTTCATGAATTATTTCAATCGGAAAAGTCAGGCGCGGACGATATTGCAATTCGAATGATTAGACAGATATTCTGTGTATCTGAGTTTAACAGTTTGTTATAATCAGAGCTGTGGAGAATTATAGCATTGCAAGAACTTATAAGAAATTAAACGATCGGCTGACCAAAGATACTGCGGCCGATGGAAAGATTTTTCCGATATCCTGTATGAATATACACGCGTGGCTTCGAGAAGCCACGCGTTTAGAGATTAACAAATAAATACAGATATATATATATATATATATATATATATACACGCGCCGGACTATACGTATGTGTGCCCAAGCCGGCGCGCTGTAAACTTAAACCCGCGTTTGTGTCTCACATTTAACAATCTGTATGCGCTCATCTAAATTCTTAATCTCATGTAACATTCTATACGCAACTTTTATTATGAGACAAATAAAAACCCACCCGCGACAGTCTCGCGCTTAGCGCTAATTGCGAGATACAAACGCGAGCCCTAACAGATCGATATCGTCTTATAAAACAACTAAATGAAAACATTTGTACTTTAGCAGTATAGAGCAGTCATTTTTTTTGTCGTAGTTACCCTTAATATCGTTTTATCTTCGTTTATATTATATTTTATACATATATATGTAATTATATATATTCTTTTAAGAATAATCCCCGCCTCCCTTGGCACGCCGATATCGCCCAACCGTTACCATTATCCTTGTCGTCGCCATCGTCTCCGCCCTCGTTAATAATGTATATGTGTACACGGTACTCCGGGTGTCGCGCGTTTTCTCTCAACTGCGAATGTCGGACGTTAAACTTTGAGAAGCATCTCAAGGCGAAATAAGAAAAAAAATAACTACATTTAAATAATCATTCAGTTGCAACTTTGTGAAGTTGCAGTATTCCCAGATAGCACAGAGAATCTAAAAAGAATTCGCGCTGCATCCCCGGATTACGAAATGAATTCTTTCTCCGTCTCATTTCCGTTCCAAACAAATTCGCCTTTTTTTTTGGTCATCAATTTTGAGCCCATTGTCGAATATAAAAGAAATCCTTTTTAATTAACGGAAACGAATTCTTCTGAGTTTACTTCGAACAGATTGTGTTAAATTGTAAAGGACTAAGAAAGAATCCTCTTTGAGTTCATGAAGCTCGCCTGTGCTATTTGGATTTTGCGAACTGGTCTTTCTTCGCAAATGGATACATTTCATTTTTGATATAACTGTCAAATGGACTTCACTTCAACGAAATGTTAATTCGAGGATTAATTGGCCAGAAACTTTTGCCAGATCTAAGGTTGCAAGAAATCGCGCGATAACTGGGGTATTTTATATCTGCATGTACGTACAGTGGCGAGCATGTAAATAGGAACAAACATTACATTTCGGCCCATTGTTTCTTCGCGTCAAGAGATAAGGTTGATTCGTGTAATATCTTATTTCACGGAGTGTCAATAATGCGTAGATTAATACACATTGATATGTATTCTCTTTGAAACCACAACGATATTAATTCCAACGAAAGTAAGACAGATTTTTGAAAATTTTCACTGAAAAATACCAAGTATCTTAAATTCAGCAGAGCATAGTATTCACTATTTATACGTTGACCACTGTTCACCATATGTCCAAGCCGCTTGATGCAAGTTAAACATTCGGTAACATATACTTGGAGTATTCGAAACGAGCAATCAGTTTCTTCGAATTTGTCTTTATAATTTAAAGAATCCGTGAATATAAACAAGTCTTATATGGAAACGAAGTCCCTTCACGATTTTTTAACTTCTTTCGTCAAGCGCTTTTGGACGTATACACGACGGACTCAAATTCGCAAAAGTACTCGACATAATCCAATCTTTCTTCGTTATTTAATCGATTTATAGTAAAGATCAATTTCTTTTGAACACAAATGTCAGAGTACTTGAAAATGTAACTTTCTGTAATCTGAATTTCGAGATTAATAGAGAATAACGTCTTATTTTTAAATAGATATTAACGTTTCGGTTTAAATAGACGTTTCAATTTTAAATGGACTCAATTAAATAGAATCTTATTTCGCACAGTATTTAATATTCATGACGAATTAAATGAAAAAGAAATTGGCTTCGTGGAATTTGTCGGCAGAATTTCGTTCGTACGAATTTGTGGCCGTCCCGTGTATCTGCGGATGTATATGTCGCTGCTTTTGATGTGTGTCGAAGAGAACGGGTATGCATAATGCGCGCAATGTAACCGGGAATCTATCAAACCGAAGAGCGATTATTATGTATGCAGTCTTGGCAACTGCGGGCGGAATACATAGAAGTATTTCGAAAAACCATTTGGATCGCCTTATCATTCTAGCGTTTGCCTTTCCTCGACTTAAATAGCGCCGCTGACGATATATAACGTTGATATAGATTATAATCACTAATAAGTACATTTAACATAGCAATAATAATAATAATATCTTTATCAATAATAATTGTAATTATAATCGTAATAATAATAATCATAATTAATGGTAGTAATGATAATAAACATATCGATGATAATGATAATAGCAGTAGGAGCACAGCGATAATAATCGGATTTTCACCGCAATAATATTATTAATTGTAACGATATTGATTATATCAACGATTTGTATAAGTATATATACAGATACTATAGCACCATGACCGAAATCTCGAATCTCGAAAAAGAGACAAAGCGAAAGATCGAATTAGGAGAGTCCAGGGGGGTGGCGAAAGGAGAAGAGAGTGTGTGTGTGTGTGTGTGTGAACCTTGCGTCTCGGTCGGAACATGAGAGGAAAACCGAGACAATTGGGGATGTGGGGAGGGGAAAGAAGGACAAACCGCCCGTTCGGGCCGGTTTTGGTAAGTTCAAACGAATAGGAGAAAACGAAGGCTCTTCGACATGAAGTGATAATATGAGAAGGTCCGATAAGAGCCAGGCTGCAGACGCTGGTGAAAAGTATGCGTACGTTGACTGTTTCTATAATGATTTTGTTCCAATCTGGATCCCGTTCGACGGCAAACTCAGTCTCGTGTACATTGGAACGTAAATATTTAACGCATTAGCGTCTGCGATCCGGCTCTTATTCGGTCCCTGCCGCGTTATATCGAGGCTCAAAATACACAGACTCTTGATTATCGTTCCGTTTCTTCTTCGTTACCGTACCGGCCAATCGTCGACGTTTACGCTACGAGAAGTCGAAGAACGAGGGGCCGCTGGCGATCGGAGCGAAAGATCTGGGCGAAGTCAGGGCGAAAGGACCTGGACACGTCCCTAAAAGTGGAACAGCGTCGATTCGCGCGCGCGGACAACCGGCAAGAACACGAAGGAACACTATCGGCGCTACGCAAGGACGACGAAGGACGATTGACCGGCGTCGTCGCTAAGAGACAGAGACAGATAGAGAATTATCTTGTTTTTATCATATAATAATACAATGTTTACGCTATATTATTACTATGATGTATTTGGCCGTTTAATTATATACTCCAGCAACGCTCGCCAGAACACCTCTTCAATTCACGATTGCTACCTCGGCGAATAATTTTCGTGGGACTAGAAATTTTGAAGAGTACGACCGTGACGTAACCGGAGAAAAATGTCGATCTCGGAAGAGTGTTAATATTTCTAATATTTATCCGTTTCTTTGTTCGCGTTTCTCATTTCTAATTTGCACCACGGACAGTGATGCAAAATTAATGTTTAGGGAATCCCACCGTCCCTTCTTTCTCTCTTAGCTCGGGAAACCTCCCCCTCCCCCCTCCTTCTCGCTTCTTCTTTTCTTTCATTTTTCCCCTTTCGACCCTGCAGCTCCTTGAAATTGGAAAATTATGCCACTGCACATTCCTCCAATTTTAACAAGCCACGGGACGTCGACGTCGCTGTCGATTCTCGCCGTTGGATTTCATCCTTTCTCGAGAAATTTTACCCGAAACCCTGAGACTCCAATCGACATTTTTCTCGTCTCGCAATGATCGGATAGAAAGCGGAAACAATATTACGATCAATAAGCGCCAAGTCACGCACGCTCGACTTATATTGAATCACGAGAGACCTTCCACTGCCGATTACGATGATTAGAATATAAAAGCGAGAGAACACTACCACGTGACCGTGATCGTTGCGTTGTAATCACCGATATGTCCTACCTTGCGATTCGCTCGACATTAACGCGTTAATTAACAGCTACTTCTTTTTTTTTGCAATATAGCTTCAATATAATGTTCCTTTGTAATATACATATATATATTTCTCCTATATATATATTTGTATATATATATTTATATTATATTAAACGGTGATATCCTCTTTGTCCAATATATTAATTAAGTATGATATGTTTATTCACAACTTGATGTGAGCGCTTAGAAAGAGTGAGAAAGAGCGAGAATAAGGGATAGAGTGATAAAAGATTGAAAATCCTTCCTTCCTCTAATATCGCAAGGACAGTATCTTCGATTCCTCTTTAGATTTGAGTGACAGCGATAATAAAACCGGGTTTACGTTACTTTAAGCACGCCCGGCGTATAGGTAAAACAGTGATATCTATATCAATAAACTTCTTTTTGCTCTCCTATTCCATGTTTCGCGGATGAGTATTTCGACGCACTCGCGCACAAGTCGCACACAGACGCACACGCACGCGCACACACACACTCAAACAAACGTGCACAAATACGTGCACGCACGCTCAGCGATGATTATATATTGTTATGCATTATACGCTAGTCATTGTCAGAAAGTTCATTAGTGTTTAAAGTTTGAAGAGCCGGTCGCGCGTACGCCGCAGGATCGTTCCGCGCGGAATCGCGAGTCAAGGTCCGGGGTGCCGTGTGTATGTTACGTGTGGGCCGGTACGCGACCTCCTCGTTGTACGCGAGCACGTGTACGAAACGCCCGGGACTCGTCGCGTTCGCACGCCGGTCATCTCGGGGGCGCGGTTTACAAAATCACAGACGTCGGTTCGCCGCGACGTTAAGCGCGTGCAAACGTGCAAATTTTTTCCGCGTGACTAATTGAGGAACTTTAATCCGAATCGCCGTTCGCGCCTTCCGGTTCTCTCTCACTCGCGCGCTTCCGCCCAGAACAGCCTCCCGAAGCGTCGCGCGACGATCTATAATTATACATAAACATATGCATACATACATACATACATATACGTGTGTGTGTATGTATATGTGTGTATATATATCGAGATATAATTCGCTATTCTACTTGTCGAGTAATAAAAATAGAGATTGCATAGATTGAAATTCGTAGCAGATGCGCCTATAAGAAGAGATACGTCCTATAAAGATTTCCTCTCGGGCCTTACAGCGTGAAATTTGTATACGCTACCTCTCAGCGCACGCGCGCTCATTATCTACATACGTAAGCTCATAGCTGTTGTATGCGTACATGTATGCTCGCGCTTGTATCGTGCGAGCCTCGCGCCCAATCGCACGCGCGTTCTCGTTACATTTACGCGGCCGTACAATCGCTCATCATCACCTCGGTATCGCGACAGATCAAGAATCGGAAACGACAAGTTCGGCCTCACGATGTCGCGGACACGGGGTCTCGATTCATCAATTAGCGATCTAAGAATCCAGCTGAAACTGTACCGATTTCAGCGGGCACTTCAACCCCTTGCACAGTTACATATATGTATATGTACGAGTGTATAATTAAGAATCTACTTTATTATTACTGTATATTATTACGAATTAATTGTAAAACGTATAATAAAGAGAAGTTCGCACGTGAAATTCAAGTTTTATCCGAAAAGTAGCCCTTCTCTTCCACCGTGAGAGGCATCCGTTCGTTGAAGTGGCCCTTCCCCACGTGTCCGCAACATCGAAATTTGAACTGATCGCAATTACGCCGGCCGCGACACCTGCAAGAGACACATACGTGCTCGGCAACGCTTAATACACGAGGGAACACTTTGTAATCTTAATTTCTGATATGTCCGTTGAGTATAGTTGGTGTTTCTGTGCTATCGTTTGGCCGATTTCCACTCTAGCCGCTCAGACGGGTACTGCACGCAATATATACATACATACATATACATATATACATACATATATGTATATATTGCCGCTGTGTATATATGTATACATTTTTTTATCTTAAATCTTAGAATTATCTGAAGAAACAGAAGGAAAAATAAAGGACAGAATCTTTTTTGAGCACGAACGGACGTCCATGGCTCGACTTACGCTTTTGTGCTTTTGTTCTCTCATCGCAACGCTTTAAACAGCCATCCGTTTACTTGACGCGGCGGCGCGAAAGATCTCTCCCTCGTCGATTGAGTATTTCAAGTACACGCCCGTTCGGAGACGCGCGTGCTGTAATGCGTGTGTGCTATTGCTTGGCGAATAGTACAAGTACCGTTTTCCGTTGAATTTGAGCAAATTGCACCTGCGAATTGTCCTCCGAGCTTGCGCGGAGCTTGCACGGACAAGTTCCGTCTTATTGCTTGCGCGGCCCTTTAAAGGTGATCTTTTCCTCCCTTGAGATCATCTTCTGTTACTCGCTGGAGCGATCGAGGCATCCTGGGAACGGGGTTCCTTGAAAGATCGCTTCCAGAAGTTCACCCTGGTATCGACTGCTCGATCTCGCTTCATACAATCGACGATTGCGCCCTGTAATTGTCCCCTTTCTCTCTCCTTTCTTCGTTTCCTAATTTCGGCAAGTCCTTCGCGATCCCTCGGCCGAAAGCTTCCTTTCCCCGCTGACTTTTGAGCGATCGGGACACCCAAGCCAGCGGGAAGTGCCGTCGACAATCGCGCGTCTTCGCTTTTCCTTCCCCTTTCATTTTCTTATGCCCTCCGCGACAGTCTCCACACAGACACGCTTCATTCCTCGTTTCAACCGCCCGTTCTTCATGCAATTGGAATTTCTTCTTCTCGTGGCCGTGTTAGACGTGTTTCGCTAACTCTACGAGTTGAAACGAACGATTCTAGATACTCGGAACGGCCTCGGCAAGCGCTCGGGCGACTCGGCTTCTCACCGACACCACGGCATCATTGGTCTCGAATTACCTCGCTGCAGCTTACAGAGGCTGCTGAACAAAGGACACTTCACTGTATTCGGCAATTCAAAGTCTTAAGGTTGGGTAAATTAAAGAAAAAGGGTTTAATTTATCGGTAAAACTTAACTGATACTTTCAGCAGAAACTTGTCACGGCAATAAACACGGTTTGCGAAAATTAACTCGTATCTCTATTGGTCTAACTCTAAGCTGTTTGACAGTTTGGGAGTCGCGGCAAGTAATTAATTACCATATTGAATTATTATAAAAGTTCGTTGCCCCAATTTTGCGCTGTTCGGACGTTTTTATATAGTCTTTATATAGTTTTTATATTCGTTATCATGACACGAATAATGACAAAGTAACTTATTTGCGATTCTTATTTACCGAAAGTGTCGAATTATCAAACGACCAAGACAGAAGCGGGAGAGAATGAAATTACATTGGGTAATATGAATAAAAAATACAGCAAGGGTTTCCAGAGTGGAAGATAAAAGCGAGCGCTTGTTCAAAAGTAAAAGCATGAAGCGGTAAACATATCCCGTATTTCGTACGAATACCCTTTTAAGGCATTCGTTTGCAAATGTCATTGCTGCCAGGTCGGCTATCGATTATCGAGCCGTACGCAGAATTCGCGCTTCTCGTTGCTCGTATCTTTTTCACGATGTTATCGACGTCATTCCGCTCTTCTAGAAACGAATGCCCCGAGCGCGAGCGAACGCTCTCGCATTTTCACGGAGCGCTCGCTTACGCTGAACGCGAATTGGAAATCCGCTCTCCTCCATTTTCACTCGCACGACCGGTCTCCGTTCATTTATTACCGGGGATTACCTTTTCATTGCAAATCCTCCTCGCACTTGGGAATGTCGAATATCTCGGCGAACAGCGGCGGTAACTTGAGCTTCGTCCAGTTCCTGCGGAACCAATCCAGGAGATTGACGTGTCTGGCGCCGAGCGCTCGCAGCTCGGGTATCCTCTGCGAGACGTTGGTGATCGCGGTGACCGTGCCGCCGGCGCTCTCGCCGGAGGGCCGGGTCGCCTGCACCCTCAACGCCTCCAGCACGCGATCCTGCAGCCTCTGCACGGCCTTGACGTCGTTCAGCCCCGGTCGTTCGTTCAGCAGCACCGCCGCCGAGAACAGGCCCAGCTCGGTGTCCGTCAGTTGGTGGGCGTTCAGCGACGACGTGACTTGCATCAGCGCGGACACGAAGTCGGGCTGTCGATCGCGTAAAAGATCGAGTAAAATTACAGTGCAACAATGAGGACAGTTAACGTCACGTCGAAATTTTATTTTCAATTCCTCGACGGAGGAAAAAACAATTCAAGAGTTCTATGTGACGGATGTGCGACAGGCAGTACGAATTTTAGACCCGGTGAAATAGGTACGAGTCCGCGTTAGGGCTGTTACTTTTGATAACTTGGAAGATTCGAAGTTAACTTCGAGGCTTCGAAAGTTGGAATGTCGAAGCCTTCGAAGGAAATCACCAGTCCTAGTCCGTGTCGCTTTATCGAAGCTGAAAGTAGACTAATGCAGGCTACCCCAGCCCTTCGCCTTAATCTCACCTCGTACATCAGTTCCAGCTGCTGGCGGGTGAAGTAGGTGCCGTCCTCAAAGGTCATCGAGTTGTCGGTGGTCATCTTGGAGATGTGGCAGAGCCACACCTCGAAGAAGCCGACCTTGATCAGGATCAGCTGGTCGTCCTGCGAAAGCTCGCAGAATCCCGGCATCCGTTTCGCGAACTCCACCACCCTCTGCACCGACGGCGTCACCCTCGTGGCAAATTGCTGCCACAGCCAGATCCTCTGCGACTCGACCGTTTCCGCGGTCGAGGACGCCGCCTCCGGATCTTCCGGGCTGGTGGGCTGCGAAGAATTACTCGCCTAATCAGCAAGATTACAAACAGACCTGCGAGTTTGCTACCACTTCCAGCGGGAAGTCTTAGTGCGCGATGAGAAATTAAACTAATTCCGTTTTCGCGCCGTAAAAGAGAAAGGCAATGCATATCGCAACGGGTGCCCGTTTCGCTCTCTCAATCGAGGATCTTTAAAGGAACTACATAGGTCTCGGTTAGATTGAATTCAACTACTCACATACGCCGGACGTTTAAGGCCGCCAACGGATTAGTTTCCTTTTTCATTTTCTAATGGCTCACCGGTATTATCATAGGTTTCCTCGTGAGGCCCCGGGTTGACTCTTCCGTGAAGCCGCAATGAGCGTGATGAGCCTGCGACACCTGATGAATCACATCGTACACGGCCAGCTGCTTCACGTCAGCGTCCGATTGATCAGCCTCGACCACCGCCGCCGACGGTACCCGCGAGATCGCGTTCTGGCTCTGGGTGTTGTTGTTGTTGTTGTTGTTATTGTTGTTGTTATTGTTGTTCTTGTTGCTGGCGTTGTTGTTGCCGGTATCGGGCGTGGTCAGCTGCTGCATCTCCATGGCCGCCATCGTCGTCGTCGTCGTCGTCGTCGTCATGGTCGTCGCCATCGTGTCCTCGGGGCCGCGTTCTCTCGAGCGTTTCGGCACCCTGCCGTACCTCACGGCTGGAAAGAGAGACGGGCAACGCTAGGGGCTGATCGCTAGGGAGGTCTCGAGATATTCCAATGGAATTATTCACACATGTTTCTCCCCTGCTCCTCGCGAATACGGCGGCGCTCCTCGGCGGTATTGATTTTCGCGAATAAAACCTTTGGTCAAATTAAAAAAGACGTCTTCGCAAAAGTCACCCTTTAACGAAGGAACGTAATGGCCGTTTGTTCGCCACAAATAATCCTAAATGAGCCCTTTTTAACGCGCATTGTCACACCGGGATGTGCTTCCGTGCGATAACAAGAGCGAGGGTAATTTTTCACGCCGAGGACCGGAGAAGTGATCCTTCGTTCGCGAAGATGTTAAAAAGCGAGCGGGTTTGCGCTTCTCGGACCGCGGCCGATTAGAATCGGGGGATCCTCGGCGAGCCGCGCGCTCCGGGGACAATAAAGTCTTACGGTTCGCGTAATTTTAGGTAGACTTTAGCTTCGCGGACGCCTGATTTAAACGCCGCGGACTCGAGGGATTTCACGTCGAAAGTTTGAAACATTTCTGAAAGTTGAGTCACGAGGATTTAAATGAAAGCCATCTCGTTTGCGTTTCTCTAGATTATTACACCCGAGTCTACGTGAGTTCGTTACAATTTCGTTTGCGACACGTGACACGATGATGAAGCGGTACTCGCAGCTCGCGCGTCGTGCACGTAGAACCCAGGTATTGCGCCCTGGAACTCTGACGTTTAATTATGTACACGCCTGCCCTTTGGTTTACTTTGCTCTTTCTCTCTCTCTCTCTCTCTCTCTCTCTCTCTCTCTCTCTCTCTCTCTCTCGGCATGGGCGGCAAGTAGATTTTGCATCACTGACGGCCAGAATTGCGATCTCGTAGAATTCTGTTTGAATTTCTAACGGCGCCGCCGTACTCGTCAGCTCATTTCTGACACACGCGCGAGGAATCAAAGTCGTACTCGGCATACGCGGGTATAACTCGCAAATTAACATACAATCTCGCCTGAGTATTTCTTGACTATTAATAAATATTTTCTCCCTCTTTGTCTACTACTTGCATTAGCAGTTCGTCGACCGTCATGAAAGTTCGACTAAAATGTTGCGGTATACAACGAGGATAAAAGAGCGAGTCCGTGTAAATAAATTCTTATATACCCGTGTACTTTGGTATTACAAATGCCTTAGAATACGTAGACGATAGATTATTTATAGATACGTTCCTAAATAATTTTCTGGAGCACTCGTCGATATATCTCGCGAGTTACTGCAATCACTTGACACACTTTACAGACAGAATAACGGGATTAGCAGGAGACAGCGGCAATTTTTCTCGCAATCTTCGGGAAAATGTATTGACCGACAAAAATCTCTGTTTGACTTCGGAGAATCGAGTTCGAGAGAATCGGAGACGCGGCTCGATACTGGTTTCGAAATTTGCCGACTGTCTAGACAGAACGATGGGAATTGCTGTGCTAAACGGTAGCGCGACCACGGTACTTACAGTCTCTGGACATGCCGACGGCTAGGCACTTCTTGAATCTGCAGTACTGGCAACGGTTCCGATTTAATCTGATGACAAGACACTTGCCGTCCCTCAAGCACCTGTACTCTATCTGCTTCTGTATGCTCCTCCTGAAGAAGCCCTGAAACAGGAAGTAAGAAGGCGCTATTAATAACGATCCCATAGACCGTCGCGGGGTTAATTATATCTCCCCGCGTATAAAATACGACGCTCCGTGCCCTTCTTTGTGACGCCGAGAGCGCAGGAAAAGTGAGAGAGGTAGCGGAAAAAAGATGCGCCCATGAGAAAAGCAAGTTCTCGAACGCGCCTCATATTCCCGGGTGAGAAAAATTCTCTATTGCGATTACATCGAAATTTCGATGCTTCCAATTAGTGGCAAGTGATAATCAGATAATATCAGACGTCAAACAACAAGTGCTAAAACCTATGTCAATGCTTTCAGCCAAGATTTCGCTTATCGTTTGCCAAATTCTTAACTTCCGATATACTATCTCGACAATCGAATTCGCGCGCATTTCCGCGGATGAGAAACTTTCTCCTGTAACTACATCGGGATTTGTATGCAGCACAATTAATAATAAGCGATAAACAACACGTTGTACGCTTCTGGATACGCTAGAACCATAGTATAACCAGTAGGTCCACTCCGTCATTTCTTCCGTTTTGCGTCGATCCCTTCTGTGCATCCGACATTGTTCTGGGCAGACCAATGGGAGAAAAATTGTACGTGTGGTCGCGTGGCTTTGACGAGTACGCGTACACACACACGTATCGTTGGATCCTGCCCGGCAGCATGGCGGAATACCACGTGATCGGGGCCGCAAAGATCAAAGGGGCCGACAGAGAGTGGACCTAGTTATATAACCGCTGACTATCTTTGTAAATCTTTTCGGAATCAATGGCTTCCCCGGCGGAGACCTCGCGGGTGGCTACCGTTCGCTAAATTCTTAATCTCCATTATTTCGAAATTCGTTCCAAAATTTGTGTAAATAATCTTTTAGAATAAAATCCCTCAATATACAGTACCGGCCGAAAGTACAATCGCCTTAAGGTTTTCTGAGCACCGAGTGTGCTCCAAATTTTACGGTAGATAACAGGATTCATCTTGTACACGAAGGGTAATGAAATTTGCTACCGAAGTACATCTTGATTTTTAAATTTCTCATTCGAGCGCTTAAAAATTAGTCATGCTAAAAAAATCGAGAGGTGGCGTATTATTGGCCCGGATACTATAGGAACCTCCGAAATATCCGTTGCTTACTATTTATACTTCGGTGTATTATCGGAATGCTCAGTGCACGTATGTAGCCTGCGGCCTTATTTCTTTATGCACGCTAATATATGTGTTACATAAACACCAGGCGGCTGCGGCTTTGCCGAGGCGAACAGCTCGCGCGGAAGTAATGGAATAATAGAAACGGCATATGGATGAGTCCCGGGCAATTGAGAAAGCATCGATTTATTGGCATATTACCATCGGTGCTAATTGATGAAAGGTATTTGTAACAGCGTCATGCTACAACGTTAACGTATATCCCAGCATCCAATATCCTGGAATCCCCGATGGACGGACCCGCTCGTAATGCAACTGTCGATATTACTGGTAACCGATGGCGCGCGCGACCTCAGCTCGTTTCTAAAATCGATACGTTATACCGTGCGCGTCCGTCTTGTTTGTCCTCGCCGGGTTCGTGTGGGGGGGGGGGAAAAAACAAAATTATTGTACGATCATCTGGATAAGTCGGTGTCGTAAGTCAAACGTGTACAGATCTTATATAGCGAATTCGGTTGGTTGCACTAGTGCGCACTGAGTGCACACCAAGCCTTGTTTCCATGTCAATTCTTATATTTAAAGATCATCTTAAATACCCCTTGCGATATTTCTTATCCAGAAAAATGGTCTGTACAACGTTTGCACGGACCATTCTTCGACTAAATACTGTTTGAACATGCCATGTGTTTAAGACAAAGTTAAATATAAGAACGATGAATATTTCTCTCGGTCCTTTTTCAGATATAAATCAAATTGAAATTTAAACGCCAATTGTTAGGACCTAGGCAAGGTGGTGGCCATTATATTAGCCTTGATATTAGCTAAGCGAATCCGTATACCGTATTATACGCAGTACAGGGTAGGAATAATACGGTATACGGATTCACTTAGCGATATAATGGCCACCACCTTGCCTAGGTCCTAACAATTGGCGTTTACATTTCAATTTGATTTATATCTGAAAAAGGACCGAGAGAAATATCCTAACAATTGGCGTTTAAATTTCAATTTGATTAAATATAAGAACTGGCTATGTAAACAAGCCTTAGTGCGCACTCAGTGCGCACGAGTGCAAGCAACCGAATTCGCTATTAGAAAACATGGCGTCCAACTGAACGTGGTTGTGGAAATAAATTAATTTGTCGTCTCGTTACAACAATTGTCACAAGAACAGAAGGCGTGCACAGGATATTTCAAATTAAAGCCAATAACTTAGGTAGATTATAACTGATTTTACTTAGCAAAATCAATTGAAGTTTGTCAAGAATTATCCTAACGACATATATTGCGTTTGCAATAAATATCCGTGTACAAAACGAGTCCCCGAAGAATTTCGACCGCCAGACAAATAAGGTGAGACGCGACTTGAGGCAAGGAGACGCGAAATAAGGCACTGCGGACGAGATTTATGTTTTTTAATTCGACACAAATCCCCCGCCGTCCTCCGCAAGGGATTTGCGTGTCGCGCAATATATGGGAATCTTCGAGACAACAGTTTCGCCTCGCGACGCAGCGTAGGGAAAGGGCTACATTAGAATTTTGCGCGACAATAAATACCGCGCGTGAGAAATAAAGGAGAGGCGAACGGCACGGGCGGCACGTCGGGCCAGTAGTAAAAACGCGGCGCGGGTCGGACGAATGCAGCGGCGCACCGCGCAGTAGTAACAGCCCGGTCGGACGGGCGGAGCACAATGGCAAGCCGTTTCATTGATTTGTTGCAGCTTAAATTACAATTTATAGCCGCGCACGCAAAATTCGTTTTATCACCTCGACGTTATTAATCGGTTATAAATTTCGGTATTATTGATAATTCGATATTATTTGATACCGACAGGCGCTGGGTTAAATATCGAGATAACAATTTCGGGGGTTCCCCGCTGGTTCCCGCCGTCGGCGCGAATGTTACTCTCATCACTCGAACGACTTTCGACTCTCGACCACGGACGTACGTACACAGGTCTGGAAGCTCCGGTGCGGTGCGGGGGCTACGCCAGTTTCTAAGCCGAAATTAGTTTGCGCTGTGCGTCGCTGCCATTGGTCAGTGTAAGGTAGCTTTAACTTTGTCACAAAAGTTTATTATTATCCGTTTTGCATTTTCGGACTACGCAAGAATTCGTCATTACGGGCCATCCAAGGCAATTCGTTGGAACGTACACCGAGAGCCATGCGCTAACTGCCACGCAACAGACAATGGGAATAGAGAATAGAATTTTTGACGCGTTGGATTCGTCGGAAATTTTCCTCCGACCGATCCAGCGCGGCAGAAATTCGATTCCCTGTTCCTGTTGCCTGGGCCATTGTGCGACAGGCTTGAGTTTCCAGACCTGCATGCAAGACCGTGCTCTCGACTCGCGAGAGGGGATATCGGACACGCGTTACCGAGCAGTACCGAAAATTTCTGGCGCTCGGAAATACGGATATTAGAGGACGGAGCCGGAGTGCGCGGATGCTATTCGATATTGAAAACGTGCCTGGGTGTCGAAAATTCTTCTTTCTCCTCTTTAAAGGAAAAATACCTCCGGCACGAATTCGCGAGACCAAGCCGCACTCGAGGGGGTGCAAATGCGAGCGATCGAAGGGCTCGCTCCTCGGCTAACTTCAGGCGGACTTGCCACGGCGGAATCGTGCCGGCACGCGCATTATGTATGTGTGTGTGTGTGTGTGTGTGAGCGCGCCGTCTCCGTGCATTTACCCGCAGAACTTGCTGCTAGCAAATGCGAGAATGCACCAATTCACCGTTAACTCCGGCCTTAGGGCTTCCGTGTTTGAAATCTCAGGCGTGCAGCGGCGGATGCGCATCTCCCACGATGCTTAAGACGTGCGCGCGCGCCGCGCACCGATAAATATCCTGCCCCGAAGTGCGAACGAGTCGTTTCGCGGATTATTACCCGATCGTCATGCATCCTTGCGGATCGGAGTTGTAAATTGTGCACGACCCACCGCTGCGCCGCCGAGGTCAAACCGATCGGCGAATATTCCGCGGGCTATCGGAAGCTACGAGGCGACTCCGTTTTACGATATATCGTCTCGGGCATATCTCCCCTTTACCTCTGCACGTGGGGTAATTCTCTTCCGACTTGTTACGATTGGTAAACCGCGACGGTGCAAGGGTCTCCCCAGCGCTCCCGGCTGCGCTTTCCGAGTCATTAATGTGTAATTGCGCGTCGGCACAGAACTAAGCGCCGTCGCATTAATCACGTTACGTGGATTTTAAGTGCACAGCTGAGAATCGATTCTTCCCGGCAAATTGCTCCGGCGCGAGCAGTCGGAGATTAATCGGTGCCAACGAAACGTCCGACGCGCCGGTCATCTCTCTCTCCCCCGATAATTGTTATGCGAAAATTAACGTAGACGTGCCGCGTCTCGGCCTTCGGACACTTCGCGACCCGATTCCTCGATACTCACCTTGCAACCCTCGCAGCTGGTAACGCCGTAATGATAGCCGCTCGCCTTATCGCCGCAGACCTTGCACGGTACGAAGCTCTTGGCGGGCGTCGAACTGTTGGAATCAGCTGCCGCGTAATGCTGCTCTGTAAGCAGACAAGAATAACAAAAAAATTAATACGCCGTTTCCCCTTTTCGACACGGAGACAATTCTCTCTCGGGGTTTATCCTGGCTGAGGTAATATTTCGCGAAAGTAAGAATTCCTCACGGTACGGGGAGGCGGGTATCGAATGCTAAATACAGCATTTGAAATTATTAGAAATCGTTTATCGATTTCAATATGCGAATTCACCGACGACAATGATTCCGTCCAAACGAAACTGTTACGTCCGAAAAGAAACCGGCGCGCAGGACAAGGTGGAAAACGGTACATGAATTCACATTTTAGATTGCAATTGTTGGGCTACCGACATCTTGCTCGGACCTGAGGGCGCTCTCGCTCGTTTAAAATAAGAGATAACAAGACAAAGTAATGCCCACTGGGCATTGGTAGGCATTGGTGTACGTGATTTCGACCAGCGGTTTACCCCTCGATGTACACTAAGGGCCTGAGCGAAATGGCTGTCTTGTGTTCCTAAGTCACAAGACAGTTATTGTGCGTTACGTTAAGACAAAGATTTAAAACACAAAATATTGCCTTAAGAGTACAAGACAGCCATTCTGCTTCGGTCCTTGGTGTAATTACTAGTAGAATGCGCGGTAAAATTTCACGAAACTCTCGTGAAACTCTCCGAAGTGCCATGTTGTCCCACGATTACATGATCTTCGGGGAAAATTTTAAGAAGGCATTCTCTCCGTGCGGTAAAACTAATTGTGGGACATGTGAATTGATTATGACGGGATAAATCGATTATGTAATAAGAGAAACGGGACAGTACGACTATTCGCGGGTACGAGGGAGATGCACTTTGCGAGGGTATCCAATTTCCCGCATGTTCGTCGAGTTTAACAAGGCGAGATAAGACGCAAAAGGAATTAAACGGCGAAAGATATAATTTCGCGCGAGCGCCGAGCCTCTTCCCCTCCCGCGGCTCTTCTATTTCTGAGAGACAAACGGGACATCCATCCAGCATTAGCCGCATCCTTCCTTCGTTCGCTCAGCATCCATAATGCAACGAAGCTCATCGTCGTGGAAGGGAATAGGCCGCTCGTTCGGACGGTTCAGGCTGGACGCGTAACGGGAAGCCGGCGTCACCGTTACGGAAAAGGAGCAGAAGAAGAAGAAGAAGAAGAAGCGGGCGCAGCAACGGCAGCGGCACCCAACTAGACGGAGCAGAACAGCGGGAGGCGAAGGAAGAGGAGGCGAGTGAGAAGGAGGAGGAGGAGGAGGAGATGGAGCAGGGAAGAAATGAAAAAGGAGTAGCAAAAAGGAGCGAAACGAGGCCGCCGGAGGGAAGGGAGCATAGGAGATCGTAGCTTGCGACGTGTGTACCGTTGGTCTCTCTCGCGAAACCCCCTGCCGGAGGACGTCGTTATGCGTAGCTAAGGAGAAGAGGATCTACGGACACGTGAGGAGGAGACGGGAAAACGGTGGGTTCGAGTGAAACCAGTGGTAGAGAGACAGAGGGAGGGGAGGGGGAGAAGGAAGCTGGACAATTCTCTCAGATCCTTGCCGTTTGCGCGCGATGTGAGTTTATGATGGCGGTAGAAACCGTCGTTAAAAGCGAACGGTACCCGCTCGCTCGCTCGCTGGATGCATCCGCGCAACCATCGCGGGGACAATCGGGAGCAACCCCGTTATTCGGCTCGTCGCGTGGCGCTACTCCCTGCGCCTTTACCTTCGCGAGCGACAACGACCGGCGGAGCTGCTGGAAACGCCAAGATTGCTTCGCGGAATCGACCGTATTTAACTCCTTCAACCGCCGCTCTTTCGAAATTGCCGACTAATTGTAAAAAGCGAGGTGCAATTACAATTACGGCGTATCGCGTTTAGACCGGCTGTCTTCATAGCGAGTCAGATTGTAGCGGAATAACAATGAAAAATCTCAATTGTTTATCGCTTCCAATTTTAACCGGACGCGTACACAATGCACACGCGTCAGCTAGAAACTAATTCTGGGAGCTCGCGACACGGTTCACAGTTGTGGTATTATTGAATTTACCAAGACGTGGAAAGCTCGTAATAAGTATTTGGAATACAATTCGCTGGTTAAATTTTAAACCATCTTTACCCTCTGCCCCGGCAGATAATTTTAACGACGTCGAAGTTAAACATTGTATCGAAAGGGATTAATCGGGTAGAGTAAATTTAATTGAATTTCCCGATCAAACTTTCCACGTCGTGTCGGTTAACTCTTCGTGAAGAGCGTCAATTTTTTATTGATGACAGAAAAAAAGATGTTCGAAAACGAAATTGCCGGCGCAAGAAGAGTACACTTTCGTCTGCCCCCCTTTATCAAGTTGGCTCGTTACGCGAGAGACGACAGGGGGGGTTAATTGTGCAAATAAGAATCTGGTCGGGCAATTGCAGCAAAAGCGGAGGGTTTGATGCGGATCGAGTGTAATCGACGGTTGACGTAGCATCGTAAAAGCATTGTTAAGTATATTAAATGAATCGCGAAATTTGTAATGACGGATTTTTCCGACGAGAGAATCACGCTTAATGATCGGATAATGACACGCCGCCATCAGATATTGGTTATTCCGTACGCCCGGCGTCGAGATGCCTCGAGTGCTAATTACGCTCGATATGGGCGGTTTATTTTGGAGAGAGAGCGCAATTCTACTCCCGTAAATCATCATAAATAATTACGCCGCGTCACTTTATGTCCTCATCTCATTAAAACTTGTAATTACCACCACTTGCAGGATAAGTAACGCGTACGAATATTCATTAAACGTGATAAAAATGACGCATTGAAATAATAATTCAACAAGAGGGGCTCGCGCCGAGTAAAAAATAGACGCATGCAAAATAAAGAAATACGCGCGCGAGCGTGCACGCACATGAACGCTCAGTGAGCGATACTCCTAGTTGATCCGTAATTTCGAGAGAGCAAGGCGGAAGTTTATGGGTGCGCCGTAATTACATATATACGGGTAATCAGTTAACAGTTAAGCCAAAGTTCTTCGGTACTCGTTCGAAAGAATTATGCCGCTCATTAGAGACGTATGTTAAACGGTCACGCACGAACAAATCTAAATGCTGCTTTCTTGCGTCGCGCTTACTCTCGCGGAACACCACCTTTCTTGCCCGACACGACACGGGGGAGATAAGACGTAAAAATCACGTTCTATTTATTTTACACGAGCGATAAACTCGCACCTGTTTTCCACCCCCCCCCCCCGATAAAAATATCATTAGCCGCGAGAGTTTACGATCGCAGATCGCAGCCCCCGCCCTCGCCGACAGTTTCTATTTCACGTAATCGCCGCTGCAATTTGTGCAATCTGTACTCGCGATAAACGTGACGCGCACGGTCTCTTTCGGAGCTACCAGATCTCCATGGCGCCATAATCCATCAGTCTGCTAATAAATCGATTACGCCACATCCACGCGGAGGCTACTCGCCTTTGTTCAGAAATCAGCGGGGCGGTAAATGCACCGAAAGCGCCGCACGTTCGAATAAACGGCACGATGCGATGCTAACGATATTATCGTGCTCGACAATATCAAAACCGATATACATGCTCGTTTCGACGGTGTTTATTAGCGACCGTCCAGTCCTCCAATGAGGATAATTAAATCCGGGCCAGTTATTTGTTCGCGAACAGTCTGGCGTTTCGATATCTCTGTCGGCGAAAAAGTTAAGTATCGTTATCGGCGTTAACGTCGAAAAGATTAGCGTTAAGGGGATGCTGGAGTCTCTCTGTTTTACCGACATTTTTTATATAAGGATATCTTTTATTGGCTTTACAGAATTGTAAATTCTTGTATTGGCATGTGTATTGGCATCTATTCGATCCGGCATCTATTACTACACTACAATACTGCTCTACTTATCATTCTACAGCTGTATTTGCATTTATAAACTTTTATTTAAACCTATCTTTTTTTCTAGACTTTCAATCTTAGTTCCAATTACACAATATTCTTCTTGCATGTTGTCTCTAGGTCACTCCGGTCTCATTTTGCAGATATAAACTATAGAACTTTTGTATTAAGCAAATTTTATCGTCATGTGACAGCTCTACGTGCCAAAAATTAATGGAATATTTAGTTCTTTTTCGTTTTTTATATAAAGTCGAGTAGGCTGACTTTCATTTTTGTGCGAACTTTAATCGTGTACAAGAATTTGCAATTCTGTAAAGCCAATTAAAAGATATCCTTATATAAAAAATGTCGGTAAAACGGAGAGACTCCAGCATCACCTTAATGTAATAAAAAAAAAATTAGACTTGATCAGAAAGGAATTGAGCGAGAGGCGTGCGCGGCCGAGGGGGGAAACCGCTGACCAAAATCTTGTACACCAATGCCCACTAGGCATTACTTTATCTTGTCATCTTGTTATGTCTTATTTATCTTCTTTTATCTTGAAAGGGAGAGTTTGCTTATAATCACCAGTGATGATCAAAAATTAAAACGGGAAACTTGTAGTCAACCCGACTGGCGTATTCTTTTATTTGCTTCACAGCGTTTCGACCCTATTTTTCGTGTCCTTGTCAAGTAGTACTAAGGGCCAGTTTCACAAACATCGGTTAACTGTTAACTGGAGTTCAGTCGACTCCCTACCTGTTTGCCGCAAATCTCTACACCACAATGCCCTCAACGGTATACCCCTCGTGCGCGGCATCTTGTTGCTAATGTATGTACACCTGATAACGTCATTTCGCTGTCGCGACGTGAGGCAATTTTTAATGATTCGTCCCATCCGCGTAATTTACCTGATCCTAATGTTTGCCTAAATCTAGCTGTTAGTCGAGAGTTCGGGCATGTCGTGTGCCAATTTGCACCGCGGAAATGCGAAGCAAGTCACCTTGTTATCGCAAGTGTGAATCTACGTGTACTTGCGAAACAGTCGATGGCGCGTCCCATTGTCGGTGAGCACTGGCGCGTGTTCGACATGACGGCAGACACTCCGGAAGAAAGCGGGACGGGATCCCGCGCGCGGCTTTCCCGAGATATCGAGGAAAAAAGGAAAGAGG